AAATGAGGACGTTCAACTCTTTTAAACTAACAATTAAAAAATTACGTTTCTGTCATAAGAATAATCTTTTAATGGTATATCAGATAATTTCGCAAAAAAAGGATATAGCTGGAGGGAAGGGAGTCATGAATATAAGGAAACAGACAGAAACAGACAGAAACAGACAGTCCACGTGCAGGATTTAACGGTTCTGTCAATATATCAGAAAGCTGTGGCTTTCGATCACAATTTGAACCATTATACATAATATTTTAGCCCTTTTTCTTAAAAACTTTTATGTCAGCATACAAATTTTGAATGAAAAAGTATAAAATAAACAAATCCGTAAGTTTAAAGATTCTTGAATTATTGACCAAAACACGTTTGATTTCAAATAAATGAAACCGAATACTTCTCACTCTGGTTAGTCCGGGGTGAGTCTCATCCTTGGTGGGTAACCCTGCATGTTCTTAAAGTTTTTCCACTTTAAACAATGTTAACTCTGAAAGAAGAAAAAGAAGAAAAATAACGTAACTAATGTAAATGTTTAAAAATGTTACAATTTTTCAACCAGTGACTAAAATCAACGCATGAATGTTTATTTATCATGACTCGCCACTAACTTTGTACATTTCAATAAAAGAATACACCATGAATGAAATCGAAATGAAAGTTCCGATATGGTTGAAAAATTGTTTTTAAAATATAAAATTGTTTAAATTTAAATCTAGTCGGTCTGGGGAGAATTTTGTTGAAATAAAAGTTTAAATTGTTTGGATTAGAAAATTTGTATTGCACAACGCTGTATATCCTGTATCCCCTGTATCCCCTGTATCCCTATATATCCTATATCCCCTGTATCCCCTGTATCCTCTATATCTCCTGTATCTCCTGTATCCCCTGTATCCCCTGTATCCCCTATATCCCCTGTATCCCCAGTATCCCTTGTATCCTCTATATCTCCTGTTTCTCCTGTATTCCCTGTATTTCTATCAGTATCCATATGTTTTTCTCTCTTTAAAGGTTAAGCACTTTAATATCCCCCTTCAAGTCATTCATCAAATCTTCAATCCATCCTTCCATCTATACATTTGTTCATCCTTCCATCCATCCATCCATCCATTTATTCATCCTTCCATCCATCCATCCATCCATTTACTCATCCTTTCAGCCATTCATCGTTCCTTCCTCCTCTCATCCTTTCATTCATCAATTCATTTATCATTTCATCTACCCATCTATTCATGCAATGGAAAGCACTGCGGAAGCAGTGACGAGGAAAAAAATGGGTTTATGAGTAATCAATTATGCGAAATAGTTGCTGTTAATTTTTCTAACAACTAGATGTGAAACTTACCATTCACCTCTGCCCCTTTAGTAAAAGTAAATTCAATCTACATGAAGCATAAAGTCTGACCGCGTCAACCTTGTAGCACCGGCTAATTCTGTCCAAAGACCTAGGTACAGTACAAACTGGGACCACTGGGATAAAGGGCCAACTTTTTTTTTATCAAAGTTTGAAAGGGTACCCTTGTGAGTTGGAGAAGAAACTCCAAAAATTGAGGATCAATTTGAAATTTGACATTTGAAATGAATTCAAAAGTTTTTGCCACGGAATAAATTCTTCAAACCTCTGTATCATTACAACCTTTGATATTTCAAATTTAAACTATTGTAAGCGCAGAATTCATAGTTTAAAATATAAAAGGTCTACGCCATTGTTTTGCACAGATATGGAGATAAGAATATCAGAGTTGGTGGCAAAAACTCAATTCCTTTTCCTTTCTCTTATAATTCCAAGCCTTGAATTTCATTTTCATAGGCGTTATTGAACACTTGTATCTTGCACTGTTAAACTTCCTAAATATCTTACTACATTCGGTACACGCTACTCCCGTATGCCAAGTCCATTAGCGTCTGTCCAATCAGGGTTTAGTCATGTGTTTGTTGTCTATTCTGAACCAATAGAAATAGTATGGCGGTAACATCTATCTTTCAATCTATCTCATCATCCAAATTATGAATCCTTCAATCGGCGCTATCAGTAAATGGAAATATTTACTTCTACAGAAACTAAAGTGACGCATTACACATTGAAGTTTAAAGCGAAGTTTTCGGTATATTTTCTTCTAGTTGCAATTATTCGTGAAATTTCACAAGATTCAATTGTTTGACACTTCTATATTAACTTTTGTTCGAAATTAGAGAAATTTAAAAACCGTGAAATATTCAGTTCATAATTTTGAGCAAAATGTTTTTATTTTCAAAATACTTGAGCGCTAGTTCGATATAAATCACAAATTATGAGAATTTCTTCGAACAGTGCAGTTGTTTGATAAAACGTTTAATAATTCATTTTGGAAATCTCTGAGCTTTTCTACTTTTATCAAACTCCCCCTCCTCCCCTCCCTTCCGTAACTCTCCCCCCTCTTTATCCTTTCTTCTATCTTGAACAATAATGCATATATTACAAAACCTCGCTTTTATGAGAGGTAAAAGATATTTTCATTTTCCAGTTATTCTTTTTCAATTTAAGCTCTTTACATACATATTTTTGTTTAAAGAAAAACCCTTTTTCATTTTGTTTTCATTTTATTTATCCTTTTTAACTTTAACCGTGTCCGAATTTAATAAATTTAAGTGGAACCAACAAAATTTGAGCTCAAATTCTTTAAATTCGGCCTCAAGATTTCTTAGTTTTAACACTAACATTTAAAAATATCTCTTTTTTTGGTTTTTCTAATCTCCTAGTCCACATTTGTCATAGAACAAGAAAACTCTGGAATAGGAAGACGACTTTTAGACCCAAGATTGAAGGCATGGCAAGGGCAGCCGGGCCGTAGTACATTTGAATATCCGAGACGGGTCAACCTTTCTGGTCTCAGTTTGTACTGTATCGCCCGGACATTGGGTAAATAAAGCAGACACTAGTCGGTGCAACAAGGTTGACGCGGTCAGAGGTGCGTGATGGTCACTCACTGCCCTGTTAGTTTTTAAAAAGGATATGTAATTAAAAGGATTGAACAAATGTTTGCTAATTGCGCAAACAATTGAAGATTGTTTGCTTATTGAAAACATTTTTTTGACAATTAAGCATTACATTGCTTAACAAAATGTTTGCTGAATAGTCCAATTTAAAAACAGACCTATTGCACTGAATAAGTAATTTTATAAATGACAAGTAAAAATAAATAATATATCTTTGCTTAATTATTTTTTAAATTCAATTTAATTCTAAAACTAGTTTTCATTTTAGATCAAAAACTATGTTCACAAGCACTTTATTTCCTCCGCCCCCCCCCC